CCAAAACATGTTATTTGTTCGATGAGGGGGGTAATACTGAGAAAGTCTTATTTGGAGGGGTGGCGGGAAAGCGGGAAGGCGAAATTTCTGCGGGGGGTGTTGTATTGTGCAAATTTGAGGGGGTGTTATCTTACGTGGACGATTCAGGTCGGTTGAAAAAGCAAAATCGCAGAGACGCTCCGAAAATAAACTATTGGCCCACAAAAAGCTTTCTGTGACAAGTCCACAGGACATACTTCGGGAGCTCTCTGCTAAATCTTTGAAATGGTGTCGCGATGAAAGTCACCACCATCGCTCTTGTTGAAAATTCAACGTCAAGGTACCTAGTAAGATACGACGACGTAAGAAACACAGGCTCAACTTTTCAGAAAAAATAATGACAAGGCACAAGAAACAGACCTCAGCCGTGGATCCTCCACTAAACTCTAGACTATATAACGGGGTACAGTATCGGCCCGCTCATAAGAAACGCATTTGTAAGAAAGGCAGGCTCAACATTTTGAAAAAATAAGAAATTTGACGTAAGAAAGAAGGCTCAGCGGCCGGCGGCAGACTAAATCCTACACGATGGCTAAGAAATAGCCATCCTCAATGTTAGCGACACAATCAGAAACCCAGCCTCGGCCGAGATTTCGGTTTCTTATGAGCGGGGTCGGTACTGTATGCTCGACGGTGGTGACGAAAAAAGACCTTGAGCTCCGACCCTAGGTTGGCGTTTCTTATCTCCGGGCTTCAACTGTATGGTATCTCACGTCACGTGGTGAAAAAGTCTCAAATTCAAAGATACACCAACGACCGGTAGGACCTCAATCTACGCCGATCGATGCCATGCAAGCGTGTTCCTTAGCCAACACTTTCCAGTTCGTGTCCGCTTTGCAGTCCTATCAAAAACCCAAAACTCACAAATGGCAGCAAGAGGAGAAGGAGGACACCACCGCCGCCGACGCAGCCGCAGCTCCCGCCGCCCCCGCCACCCCCGTCGACATGGGTTTTTGCGGAGCTGCACCAGCTTTCTGCAGCAGCACCAGCGGCAGTGCCAGCAGAGGGAAGAGCGGTACCAGCTACAACACCAGCTACAACACCAGCTACACCAGCTGCTCCATCTACATAAAAAGAGGTGCAGCAGCAGCATCAGCAGCGTCGTCTGGAGAAATAGCTGCAGCAAGAGCAGCAGGCGGAGCAAGAGCGTTTTCTGCAGACGCTACAGAAAATGCACAGACACAGGTGCGTGCGTGAATGGCAAACACTATTTTCAGAGAGGGATATAGGGTCTTCCTTTGATACCCGCAGCTCGTTGACACACTCCCCAAATCTTTCTTCCTCCCTGTTAAAGCTGCGACCGAAGGCGGGGAAGGTTCTGTGGAAAACATTATTATTTTATTTGCCATCCGACAATTGCAGGTGATTCCACAAATATTTTACTCAACTTAACGATGCTAATGCTATTGGTACATCGAGGATGAGCCCGCCGGTGGAGCCTCGGCCGCCACCGGAGAGGACCAGGGCGGAGCCGGTCATGCCCTAGCCGAGCCAGAGGACTGCACGGAGGAGAGGCTCTCGCGGAGGCCCGGGCCCAGAAGCGTGGTCTACCGGAGGGCTTTTGAAGGTGTGTTTGGTGTGCACTGAGGTAGTCTGGCCGCCCTCCCCGCTCCCGGACAAGCGTGTTTATTTTTACGATATGTCCACCCGAAGGCTTTTGAAAGTGTGGTTTTGTTTTGTTGAGTGCAGGTATATTTTGTAGCTTCTACAGGCAGCTAGCTTTGCTCCCCGCTCCCGAATAAGCGGTCGGATACGCCGTCTACCAGCGGACTTGCGACGTTGTGTGTGTTTTACGATGTCTCATTGCGGGCGGGGCCAGGACCGGAGGAGGCTCTGCGGAAATTGAGGGGGGGGCGAAGGTGGGGCCGGTCACGCCCAGACCGAGGAAGGGGCGGACGGCCGGCAGCATGGAGGAGAGGCTCCCACGGAGGCCCGCAGCCAGAAGAGCGGTCTACCGGAGGGCTTTTGAAGTTTTTGTTTTGTTTTATATTGTAGCTTCTACGGGCAACTTGTGGGCCTCGCTCCCCGCTCCCGGATAAGCGGTCGGAAACGCAGTCTACCAGCGGACTTTTGGTGGTGTTTTTTCAACGATGTCTCATTGCACAACCAATCGTAATACCCCACCGCCCCCAATATTTCCCGCCCCAGATTATTGCCAAGCCGGTCTTTTATCGCCCGTTCGTGCCCCCCCCCCTCGAGAACAAGGGCGACAGTGGCACGATACCTCGGTGGCAACTGCGCCTGAACACCAGCTGCGTATACTGCAGCGGGGGAAGCACGGGCGGCTAGCTATTTTTGGGGGGCGGCGTAGGGCCTGCCTGTGGGGGGTTGAACAGGGTTACGTGCACATTAAATATTAGTCATAGTACAGATGCGGTCCGCATTAAGAAATATTGAGATGAGAAACGGAGGCTGGGCCTTTAAAAACAAATGAGAAAAAACGATTTAAGAAACACACCTCAAACTAAGAAACATCTTAACAATAAACCACCGGAGTCCCTAGATCAGTCGTTGGTGAAGCGTGGTTTGCTCGTTAAGCTTGGAAAAGGGTGGTTCGGAGGGATTCTATCTCGCAGAGCTCACCCCAGCTGACGACACGACACGAGTACGACTACTACGTCATTCAGAACGCCAACGGGGACACGCAAAGCATGAAGTTGCCGTTAGAGTCATACAGCACGGAGGCAGACGCCGCCGTCGGTTGGTGAAGCGTGGTTTGCTCGTTAAGCTTGGAAAAGGGTGGTTCGGAGGGATTCTATCTCGCAGAGCTCACCCCAGCTGACGACACGACACGAGTACGACTACTACGTCATTCAGAACGCCAACGGGGACACGCAAAGCATGAAGTTGCCGTTAGAGTCATACAGCACGGAGGCAGACGCCGCCGTTGGCTCGTGGTTGCTGCTGGAAGTAGACGAGGAGGGGGTCAGGAGGTCCAAAGGGCGACAGCCTTCAATGAATGTAGATCGGAGCTTTCCGCCCAGCAGTCTCTCAAGTCTTGGAACAATTTCAGCAACTTGAAAGCGCATGAAGGACCGATCAGGCAATAGACCGTTGGGACTACCGCATATATATGTCGTTGCTTCCGGGGCGCTTCGCTTTTCCGTGAGCAATGATGCCGCCGAGAAAATTTTCGGCCGATTGTGGAAGTGCCAATATTCGCAGCCGTCCGTGCTGTGCTCTGATGTGGGTCGAATTGTCGCAAATATGTAGGACAATCTACATACGACCAACGTCGTCATCACACATCACCTGAAGGGTCTAACAAACATTCGTCAAGCATGCTTTATCAGGTGTAGTACATCCATCCTCAACGATTTCAGTCTCGCCAACCCTCGCGCCTCCGGACACAACAACACCAGGCTAATCGACGGATGCTCTGAGCGGGCATTGCGTTTTTACCTGCCCTATCGACGACACCTCCACGAGAAGGCTCCGAATTCACGGACCGGGAGGGCTGGGACTATCCCTGGTCTGACCTATTGGCCGTGTCTTGACTGCGCTTCTCGCGACCCTCGGCGATTTTTGTCTTGCCGAAGAAAATTGCAGCAACCAACGTTACCAGCAAACGAACTGCCGCGATCCCGTAGCAGACGCTTGAAGTCGCGCGCTTTGCATCATCAATGGCGGAAATTAACGACCACGAGAGCTCGCAGACGGAGTACACATTCCAAGCCCACGCAGCACCCGAGTCAGTGTGTGGACTGGGGATGCGGTTGCTTTTGGCCAGGGCCAGGGTGTCTACTGGCCATGGTTCAAGTTGCTTCAAGTGGTGGACACACTTTCCGCTGTACAGACAGTTCGAGCTTCACCCGTCCGGAGCGCCTGGGCCAAATCTCACATACGACTGAAAACACGAGCAGGGCCAGTCAGGTGCGTAGAGAGTTCGTGTTACCCGGGGTATGTGAATATGTGCGCACCAAGACCGAAATAGTATGTGAGATGACCCCCTAACTCGCTGACCCTAACTCTTTGTTGTTGTTGTTGTTGTCTTCACATTAAACCGTATGTCAGTTGCCAAATAAATGCCAAAATCTAGCAAAAGACTCTCAGCCCGTGGTCACGAAAGCGCTAGAGCCATCTGGGGATCTAAAGAACACGCACACATATAACGAGAAAAAGGTATCCAAGAGCCCGAAGAGGTACACCTTAAAACCCCTGCAGTGTGCGTGCCCAAAAACTGAACTGCACGTCCGTCCCACCGTTCGACTACAGTAGCATCACCCCCTCCCTGTCCCACTCTATACCAAAACGGAAGATTGCCGACTACAGCATA